CGTGAGGCACCCCTGCACTAGCTGCTTCCTCCCAGCAGACCAGGGAGATGCGAAACTAGCGCCCTCCCCACCCCCCAGGAGACCAGGGAGACGCGGAGCGGCTTTTCTCAGCAGACACTTCAGCTTGAGAATAAAGGACTGAGGGAAGTGAGGTGTGGGAGAATAAAACTGAGCTCTGGAGAAATGTTTGGCTAGAGTTTCCCCTACAATATGTACCAGTTCCGACTTACATACAAATTCAACTTAAGAACAAACCTACAGTCCCTATCTTGTACGTAACCCGGGGACTGCCTGTACATATAAATATATATCCCACCTCTGTGATTTGCACCCCCTACAACTGACAAAGTGGTTTTAACCCACAAAATCTTAAGCCCAAATAAATCAGTAGGGCGAATATAGTTGCCTGTCTATAAAAAAGGATATAAGGACAATTCAGGGAACTACAGAGAAGTCAGCTTAATGTCAGTACCAGGAAAATAATAGAGCAAATAACAAAGGAATCTGTTTGCAAACATCTAGAAGATAATAGGGTGATAAGTAACAGTCAACATGGATTTGTAAAGAACAAATTATGTCAGAGCAACCTGGTATCTCTCTTGGATAAGATAACAAGCTGTGTGGAGAAGGAGGAAGTGGTAGATGTGGTATAGACCAGTGTTTCTCCACCAGTGGTACAAGTACCCTTAGGGTAGTTGAGAGATGTCTGGGGAGTACATCAACACAACTGATATTTGGAGAAAACTGAATTTTTGTTTTAAGTTTTACGACGCTTTATTATTTTTGTACTTTTTACACCCAAAAATGCCATCGCTCACCCTGCTACGATTAAATTGTTTAATCAAATATGTTGCAATGGTAGAAAAAAATGTTGTGTGTCTGAAAACTGTAGATACTGGGGGTACTTATATATATCGATTTTAAAAAAACGGTTTCTTTATATAAAAAAAGGTTGAGAAACACTGATTTAGACTTTAGTAAGGCATTTGGAACAGACTCACATGACCTTCTCACTAATAAACTAGGGAAATGCATCGTAGAAGGGGCTGTTTTCAGGTGAGTGCATAACTAGTTGGATAACTGCTCCCAGAGAATAGTTCTCAATGGTTCACAGTCATGCCAGGCAGGACTAAAGCGTGGGGTTCTGCAGGGGTCAGTTTTTGGGCCGGTTCTGTTCAGTATCTTCATCAATGATTTAGATCAGTGTTTCCCAATTGTATTTGGCCACAGAACCCTTTTCAGTTTAAAAGAATTTCAAGGAACCACTAGGGGTTGCCAGGGTAAAAGTTGTCAAAAAAAAAAAAAGAAGAAAGGAACGAAAGTTCTCGCGGAACTTTTACTTTCACTTCGTGGAAGCCCAGGATTCCACGGAGCACCATTTGGGAAACACTGATTTAGATGATAGCCTAGCGCAGGGAGTGGGGGGAACGCAGGGGCTTGCCTGGATCTGGCCCCTGAGGCTCATGCCTTTTTTTGTTTGTTTGTTTCTCACTTGTGTGTGGCTCCTGACTGATTTTTCTGTGAGTCAGCCGTCCCCAACCCGAGAAATGTTCCCCACCCCTGGCATACAGATCGTGCTGATAAAGTTTGCAGATGACACCCAGCTGGGAGGGGTTGTGAGTATCATTCTGGGCGGCATCAGCAGGAGTGTTATGAGGAAGACACGAGAACTAATTCTTCCCCTCTACTCTGGACTGGTTAGGCCTCAACAGGAATACGGTGTCCAGTTCTGGGCCCCATGTTTCAGGAAAGAAGTGCAGAAACTGCAGAGGGTCCAGCGAAGACCAAGAAAAGTGATTCAAGCTCTAGAAAACCCGAGCTAAGAGGGAAGATTGAAAGAACCGGGTTTATTTAGTCTGGAAGAGACCATACTGTGCCCTGGGCAGTGGGAAGGCGGTGCCTGGTTGACATGGTAAGGGACGCTGCACCCCCGGGCAAGTGACACATGTGCGGCCGCGCCCCCGGGTGCCAACCTATGGGGGGCACCGCATTGAAGTGGTAAGGGGCGCTGCATGCCCAGGCGCACAGCGTATCCGCAGTCCCACTCCCGGGTGCGCGGCACGCCTTACCACTTCAATCAGGCACCCCCCCA